CCTGTCGGCCCCCTCCAAGAACCTTCCAGGGGAGGGGGGGGAGGAGGAGTGATGAAACGACCGATGGAGGGGAGAGGAAAGGAGGTGTGCGATGAGTGAAGGGTGGGTTGGGAGCTGCCCGAAGGAGTGTAGTGACGAAGGGAGAAGGTGAGGTGAGAAATCGCCTTCCCTCCCCTCCCCTCCTCCCCTCTCCCACAAGAGACCGCCCTGGATCCGGCTACTGATGGATTATTATAAAGCAGGACAATATGAATGTTTGTGAGAAACTTCAATTAACGATGGCTGCTAAATTAGTAAATTAACCTGTAGCTCATCTTCTCTCTGCAATAATTTCTTGCACATTGGACAACGACAGTACTTGCCCCTCAGACGATGCATCTCATCAGCCATTTGCTGCTGCACTAAGGCAGACATGAATCGGAATTCCGTTGGCGGCATAGGAGGTAGTGCGTGGATTGCTTGTTCTGAAAGTAGGCTGCTACCATGCTAGGCGCAAAAATGTTCAAACGTATTTCGCGAAGTGATTGAAAATATTGGCAGATGTGTGAAGCGGGATGTAGTATTTTTTTACATCAGAAACCATGTTGAGAATGATTTCAGAACTGAGGCGATTTCGCAGACAATATTGTACTTACTGCAAACGAAACAAATGCTCTTATTTGTTTGTTGAACCTGTAACCAAGGGTGCTGCACACTGTTTGCTTCGTCTAATCGCTATTCTAGACGTGTCGTTTAGTCGCGCCCCTAACGTGTGGTTGGTCCTGTTTCTGTCTTTTGATTGACTATAAGCAAATTAATGCAAAATCCATAACAGAACCTAGATTGCGACATGCCAGACTTGCACGTATGGTCGTGCGCTTTTTCACACCGAAACAATTAGGCTGATTAAATGAATTGTTTTTGCATCACATTTAACCTATGCGCTCATTATCGCAATCATCGTAAATTTTGCATGAGAAAAAATGAATAATTTCCGCTGACCACTGAAAATGGATATGATCTAGCCCAGCTGGCTCCCTAGTCAGCAATTTTCCTGCCAAGACTTTCACGCACTCGCACGTCAAGAAACAAGCGCGCTTAGGGTCTGGATTTGAAATCTTTGAGTTGGACGAGAACGGGGAAACATCCCCCTTAAATTTCAGCTTTCTGGCTATTCTAGTTCTCAAGCTGGTAATTCTTTCGCCAAAAATTCCATGTGCCTGCAAGTAGGGTTCGGGTGTGCGTAAAGTTGGACCACGGCTTGGGATAGCGCTTAACCAAGTGACTCGCTGGAAAAATTTCGCCGTCGAAGATTGAATGGATAGCCGAATTCAAATACTCGGACAGACAGACAGACGGACGCACACACCACAGGTAGTCACAAATGGGTTTCTGCATTCTCCTAGTTATGCTATAATGCATGAAAACGACATAAGCCTATTTCTTCCAATAAAAATAACTCACCCACAGTGTCGCCCACTTCTGCTTCGGGGCCCGAAATATTTCCTTCCTTTTCAGCATTCTGTAATATGCAGACTTGAGCTACAAAAACTGCTTCATGCAAAAAACAAACCTACTTTCAAAAAAAGGGGGAAAAACTTTGTAACTGATGATTTTAGTAAAAAGCTCTACAGAGCAGGTAACCGATGCAAAAATGCCATTTTGCACAGCTCAGCGGTTGCCTCCTGTTAAGAACTCTCACTGTTTCATGGTTTAGGAGACTACATTTGGTCACGGAGTATACTGCTGAGCTGAAAATTCCGGACAGGCGAACGAACATGCATACACAATAGCCTGCGGATTTTGTGCTATCAGCACCACAACATTCACAGTAGAAAGCAGCATTTGGAGTTCTTCATCGTCTACTATAAAACTCTTTTCCATCTTCACCTTTTGTACGACTTGCTCCAGCGCACATGCGAAGGATTTAGGAGAACATCTGTTCACATTTATCTCCTTGTTTAATACCTCTGCCAGCCTCATTTTTTACTGGATAATCAAACAGCGCTATTCCCGTGCGCAAATCAACTAAAGCGTCTTTAATACTGTGCATATACAAGTCCTCATTGCCATATTCCACAAGAGATTGTAATACGGCACTGTGCTCCACTGAGCCGAAAGCTTTCTGGAAGTCAGTGATGAGGAAGCACAAGGGTACTTTATGTTCCTTGCAGTGATCAACCAGCTGCGTGACTGTGAAAATGCGAACAATTGTTGAGAATCGCTTTCTGAATCCAACTCGTTATGCGTTTAGCGTTGTGTAACAGCAGCACAAAACGCATATTGTCACCGGGTTGTCTGTGTGTTTGTGCTGGTGTGTTCGAGTGCATTTTGTTCCGCACTTCCAATTTGAAAACCTTGCAAGTTCCATGGGTCGGTCCTCCGCCCACATGCGACCCCGCAAATTAAAATTCAGTCTTTCCCTGCCCGCGAGTAACACGTACGACCCTGTGAAAGTTTTGGTGGGGCAAATTATTATCTCAGGATTCATGGAAGGTGGGATGCCGAAATTTTATAGTTGTCTCCTGCCCACGTGCGACCCAGTAAATTCAAATTCAGCTTTCCCGCGTGATGAGGATCACGCACGGTCTCGGAAGTTTTAGCGGAAAAATTATCCCGGGAACGATAGAAGCAAGGGAGCTGAAATTTAACAAGAATGTTTCCTGTCCTCGTGCGACTCCGTAAATTCAAAATCAGTTTTCAATTAAGCCTAGGTCTCAATCGTTAAAGTCTCGGCGAGGAAAATTACTGTCTCGGAAGCCATAAAAGATAGGAAGCTGAAATTTTGGGAAAATGCGACCTCGCAGAATCAAATTCTGCTTTCATTATGCTTAGGCCTTTTGTGCGGGCACCCATTTTGAGTATCACAGCCATTCTAGACTTCCTCTAGTTTGCAGGAATTGAGGTACCAAGAAAAACGAGTGTTGAAGGCCTTGAACAGCTTCTCGCCTCTGGTCTGAATTTCTCCTGCCCGGAATTTTTCTATTTCTGCTTTTTTTCTTGGTTTCATGCAGCGAGCTGCACATTCAACTTCGTACAGCTCTGCACTCAGAGCAGCAGACGTTTGCTGTGTTAACGAATGCCATCGGCATTAGGATTTCTTGGCAGAATCTTTCTACGCTTGATTTTTGAAATGCCGTCTCCGTTATTTTATTTTGCCAACAGCTGTCGCAATCTTCCTTCCCTAATCTTCGCAAATATCTGCAAGAAAGTTTGTATTCCAGGCCGGTTTTGCCTTTTGCCCCTACTCCTCTTCCGTTTCAAAGCACAAGCGTTTGCTGAATAAGGCATGCTTTGGAACTTCTTACAACTTTGACTGCTGCGGCTGCTTTGCTGCATCACTGTCTCTGCTGGTAATGTTCCAGTTCTCGGCTGCAGCTCCTTTCAAGAAACGCTGCGGTGTAATTTATTTTGGCCTGTCGCAAAAAAGAATTCGATCTCCATTCTTAGTCAATTTTCCTAATTGAAATCGAACTGATCTTCGCTTTCACCAGGCGATGGTCGAATAAATGGTTATGGTAGATTCAGAACGGAAACGTCCACAACCAATCTTCCCCTATCGATGGAGATGTTGCCAATTTCATTTCTTAGCGTCGCATGAATCTTAAATCCAGCGTCCCCTTAGGCACTTTTTAATACACAAAGTCTGGCTGATTCAGCGAAGTCAACCAGCCCCTGTCCTTTTTCATTTTTACTGCCAGGCCCATACGGGCAAATGCACTGCTCCTCTTCAGTTTTTCCTTTAGCGCTGAAATCGCCAAATACTATTGTGTAAGTTGAGTCTCGCTGTAGGGCTTTTCCAAGTTCTTTGCAAAAATGCTCAGTGTCTTCTTTTGCTGCAGCTGACATAGGTGCACAAGCTGCTATGAATTTCACTGTCCGACTCTGTCTTATCCTGTCAATAAGCATGCCAAGACGCGATGAAAGAACTATTCCTCCGACGCTGTCCTCTGACTCACCGAGTATAAGCCGTCGTTCTAGCTCGAAGTGGTATTTTCTGGAGCGTTTCATATACGTCAAGAATGGCGATTCAGACGTTTTGAAGCTCGTGCAGGCACCACGGCGTAATTATCTCTCCAGCGTTCACTCGTTGTATGCACCCATGCTGGTCTCAGCACTTTTTTGCGAGATTCCTAACAAACTCTGCCCAAACATCAATTACCCTAACACTGCCATTGTAAGGGTGCGTGGAGGTTGTGCACGACTAAGTACCATTCCCTTCTCCATTTCATGGATGTTTTCACCAAGAATGCATCGCTTGATGATCGACTTTGTGGCAATCCTGGCCTTTTCGTCCCTCGAAGGGACTGCCAGCACAACGGCTTACTATCAGGAATATATTCATATATGGGGAATTGAAAAGAACAGAGTGGAATTGGTTAAGGAAGCGAACGCAGGCTGTCCGACAAACACAACACTTTCTTCCACTCGAATTCGCGTGCCGAAAAGTAAGCAAGGAGATGACTTATTGCCCAAGCTTTTCACCATCTGCCTCGGAGTGGTACTTCGAAAAATGAACTGGAAATGTGGTCTAAAGATCAATGGCGAGCACCTAAATCATTTACGCTCCAGGACGACAAATTGTTATTAATTACTCCCATGAAAAAAGGAGGTGTTGCAGGGCTTCAGCACACGAAAGAAGTGAACCTGCAAAACAATGCATCGAAAACGATAGTGATGCAAAGTCCTAGTATGTCAGCGGCAAGATTACATATAGATAGCATGGACTTGAAAGAAGTTGACAGTTACGTCTATCTCAAAAAAGAAGCAAATAAGCGGTCTCCAGTCGGAGACTGCACATTAAAAGGCTGCTATTTGGCGCAAATCACAAAAGATCGCCTCTGTTCTCAAAGTGTCAAATCGGAAGGACGATGTCCACCTCTTCAGTACCATCATACCAAAGGCTATGACGAGCGGATGCGAAAAGTGACCACTTGCAAAAGTTGACGAGCAAGCGCAGGCAGTGAAAAGTTGCCTAGCGTATCTCTCCACAATTATATAAACAATCAGACTCTCCGTCAAAAAAGCGGCGCACAAGATATCATTGTATCCATGCAGGGAAGTAAAATTCGATGGACATGACATGTTCTCGTCTTCCCGAAATCGGTGGATACCGTGCATTAGCCGATGGTCTCACGAGAAAACAAGCGACCACTCGAAGACTCTCGAAAAGGTGGATATACATTAGACAAACGATGATACCAACTGAAGGTATGCAGCTTAGGAACGGGGGGTACAGCTGCGCCCCGTTTATAACAGCATTCTAGCAACATCACTAACAAAGAATACCCATGCTGGAAGCCCAGCAATCTCGATATTCTTAATGCAGAATCCATAAAAATAAAACAGTAACAAAGTCAGAAACGAACCAATATCGCTTT